TGTGGACTACACAAATTTATCAGACTCAATATGTGATCAAAAAGACTTGAAGGGGGGACATATATCCTTCTGATTCAATATCAACTTTCTCCAAATGAGAAATTGATAGATGATGAGCTGCATGCCCCAAATGTTATTGAAACAATTATCTGTTGAGAGATAAATTAGTAGTTGGTGGGGTTGTGACAAGAATTAACCTAGACTTTGCCTTTTTCAATATTAGTCTCCAAAGAATCGAGAACTAATAGATTATGTGGTATGCCCGGATTATGTAAGTTTGGAACAGGATTTTCGTATTCTTTTAATCCGGACACAACTCTCGTCAATTCTTTTAGCTCACAACAACTACCCCTCTCTTTTTCATTTTAGTCTCAGCACACAAACCCATTTTTTTATATAAGCTCACTCAGATATGGTTGTCCTCTTGGGTAGGTCTGTCGGTTTTGACATTCCATAGAGGTATTTMTKATWAGCACTCAGTCCCTCCTAAAATATTGCGTTATGTACATTTGATCACAATGATTGATCAAAAATATTATTTCTTTAAAGCACAATGATCAGATAAAAAACTGATCAAGTAATTTGGCTTTAAGCACGATCAATAAAGAATGATGCGACAACAATTCGATTATTCAATATGTATGAGAGAAATGAATGAAAATCTGTAAGAACAAGTTTACAGATTCTGATATTAAAAAAAATGAATGAATGTGTATCAGTCAAAGAAAAACAATATCAGAAAAACAATCTTGAATACAAACGAGTGTATTATCACCGAAAAAGATTTTCATATAAGAGACGTGATAATAACAGTTTGAAGAATAGCTGAAACAGGTATTAGAGTTATGTACGACGAGAAATTACGCAAGTAAAATCTCAAGAAATACCTATTTAGAGAATGTACTCGTTTCCCAAAAAAATTTCATTTACCGAAAAAGATTTATTCAAAAAATTTCTAGAGACTCCCCCTAGAAAACAGATTTAAGTAATGAAACTTTTAAGCTCAAAAATTTAAAAGGAAAACATTTTAAGCACGGGTTCTAAACTGAGTGTTTAGAAACAACACTCGGTAAAGCACGGGTTCTGAACTGAAGTGTTCAGAAGCCTTAGAATTTAAGCTCGGGTCCTAAACTAGATGTTTAGAAGCCTCAGTTTGAAATAAATCACAACTCCCCCTGCATCGGTGTATCATTGAAATGATATTTTGATCAGCACAAACTTGACACACCTGAAAAATCAGATCAAGTAGATTTTGGTACCCAAACGAACTTGGGTCCTATATTGTTAGTATTGGGTTGGGGTATGTTGTAGTTTCYAAACCATTTATTTCGATAAGGTGTTTTCTTTTCAGCACTATTAACAGGATGATTATATACAAGATATGATTCGTGCCAGTTATTATAATCATACATGTTCTTACCTTTCCAATTGTTCTGATAACTGTTATCTCCATGCCACCTGTTGAACCTTTTGTTATTGACAAAATTATTGGTTCTGCATGTTGAGCACATAATCCTTCTCTTGCTAAGATGGATCAGATCATTAGTGGATTTCACAAGGCAAGGAAAAGTGTTAGTAACAACAGGTGTATGAGATAAAACAGATTCAGACTTATTGACCCAAATGCTTTTAATCTTTGAAG